ACCGGACAGTGGTGAATGAAGTTGAACCCCCCCCCCCTCCCCTCAACCCACCCGAACTGATCTGTGAAGTACATTTGGGGAAACGCGTAATGATGTACCAAAGTACCTTGCCGCCAGAATCATAGCTTTTGAAACATGTAAATTTCTGTAAATAAAGAGTTGTGTGATCAATACAATGACCTAACCCATACATTATCATTATGTTAAAAAATTTATCTTTAAAGAACACGAAACAATAGCAGCTAATATAAAATTGATTGATCTTAACTGCAAGAAGAATAATTTAGTTACATGTAGGCTATTATTCAGAAGATTCCACCTATTCGATTTAGTTTGTATATTAAATTGAAAAACTTGATTTTATACCAACTCTGATTTCAAAAACTTTCATTATGCTGCAATATTTTAGCATTCATTATGACAATATATTTAATTCTGATTGTAAAATCATATATTTATAAAAACGAATAGTGTAAAGCTACTATATTACATACTAAAGTAATTATGATCTGTTTTGACATTTACAATTAAATGTTTAGAAATGCACATATTTACATTAAGAGAGTATTTATTTCCCCTAGTTAAAATGTCTTAATTAATATTCTAGGTATCATGTCCAATTGTTTTTACTTTCTTACTTGTATATATAGTATAGAGAAAGTATTGTAATCGTGCAAAAAAAAAATTCCAGATTTTTACAAATCTGGACGTTTTACACATCCCTGAGTCGGAAAAATAAAATTTTGCAATCGTGTCTCTATGTCTGTGTATGTGTGTGTGTGTGTGTGTGTGTGTGTGTATCTGTAAACACGATAACTTGAGTACCGTTACAGCTAGGTTAATGAAATTTCATATATGTATTATATCAAATCTGTAGATCCGTATAAACTTTTCAGCGGTTTCCGATAACCGAAACTGGAACTTTTTCTACTTTAAACTTTTCAAAGCCTATAACTTGAGTACTATTTCAAATAGACGAATAAAATTTCACGTATAAGTAAAAGATAAAATTCTCTGCCTTCTATCAATATTTGAGTAATTTTAGTTGACCGGAAGTATTATTTTACTCTATTTCCGATGTCTCAAAAAACTCATGTGAATTTATAAAGTACTAATAATATCTCGCACTATCATGCACATTTTATTTAGTGTTCACTTGGTGTGCAATTATTTTTTCTAAGAGATTCTATTCTATTATAAAATGTTTAAGTAATTAAAAATGGATACAAAATTTATATACTATTAAACCTCAAGTTTGTTTACATTTCTGAATATTTTTTTTTATTGTTTTTTTTTCTTTTTTTTTTGTCCCTTTGGTTACAGGAGAGAATCTGCACCATGTGTAGAGCTGTAAAATAGTAATTAGGTAGAGAACATTTTTTTTTGTTTTTAGACAGACTGTTAATCACAAATTTATTTAAAGACGTTAATTAAAGGCTAATTTTCTGTCGGCTATAGATTTAACGAAGCGTCCGTTTTCTATTTTTATTAGGTTTCAACACTATCCAGTCCTTGCAAACACGTGACCTAAATCACGTGATACCTACGTCCGCCGCCACGGTGGTATACACCGGACGTAAACAAAATCAGCTGTTCGTCAGCGCTGGACGCGTTCACTGTTTGTAAAGAACCGCACCCTCGGAAAGGAACAATACGTTAAAAAAACTCGAACTCTTAGGAATTGAAGATCCTTATACTGTTATTGACAGTTTCGTGGATAAATTTATTCATTCAAATTTATTCAAATTTATTCAAACAACGGTTACAATTGTAGGCACAAAGGCCTTTTTTCACATTGGCCGTTTAAACAAAAAAAGCAATTCAATAACACATAGCAGTAACACATAGCACTGAAAATGTGGAATAAAGAAACAATGGTACATAGCTATCATACATAATGAGATAAAAAAAGAGAATATAATAGATGAATGAGAAATGTTACAATGAGTCAGTTAGGTCATTAAATAATTTTAGTTTTAGTTTAGATTTGAATATATTTTCAGATCTAGATAGCTTTATTTTATTAGGAAGATTGTTCCACAAATTAGAACCAGAGTAGGCGAAGCTATGTTTTTGGAAAAAGGTTGAATAAGGGAATGGTAAATTAAGACGACGATTTAATTTTATGTTAAAAGAAAATAGATCTGATAAGTAAGAGGGGGCTGTTTCGTGGAATATTTTATATAAGAAAATTGATTTAGTATATATTATCTTTTTATTTAATGGAAGTATTTTAGTTGTAAGAAAAGAATCCAGACTACTAGACAAGCCAGTAACCAGTTTTATAGCCCTTTTTTGTAAAGAAAGAAGAGGACGCTGCTTAGATATAAAGCTGGCGCTCCACACTACAGAAGCATAATCCAACCTGGATTGAATAAAAGCCTCATAAAAAACCAGCCTGCTCCTATAGTTGAGAAAGTTCTTTATCCTTGCTAATTGAAAGGTTGTCTTTAATAAGGACTTTCTTAGAAAATGAATATGGTCAGACCAAGTGAGGTTGTGATCTATAAACAATCCTAGGCATTTGTAACTGTCTACCTGTTCAATGTTTGAATTGTCTATAGTAATGTTTAATGCGGTGGATGGAAGACGAGGGCGTTTCTGATGAGTTGTAATAAACATTGACTTGGTTTTATCGGGGTGAAGTTTCATTTTGTTAAATTTTGTCCAAGTAGCAAGCTGATTGGCACATGTTTGAAGTTTGTAACTGAGTGACTCAGCACTGTCTGCAAAGACATGCAAAGAAGTATCATCAGCGAACATCTCGCACTGACCAGCGTCAATATGTAATGGAAGATCATTAATGTATAAAGAAAAAAGTAAAGGACCTAAGATTGAGCCCTGTGGAACCCCTATATTAACATATTTCTGTGAAGAGATGGTATTATAAATATGTGGCCGAAATTTCTAAATAAAAATACTGTTAGTAATACTGTTTGCGTTTAGAGTTTAAGTAGACGAATCTGATAAAATGCAGTAATATATTAAAAGTTATCTAGATTTGGTTAATGTAGATTCTAGATTCTCTGTGAAGTACAAGATTTAGTAGCAAAAGATCTAGTACAACCACACTACTGTAACAAACGTGAGACCACTTAACTCCTAAAAAGCCCACACTAGAACGGCTAATATAATTCATGGGTAATAACCACTGCTGTTCTTAGATTTCAGCCAATCTGGGTAGCATGTAATTCCAAAGAGGAGTCAGTACCACTGCCCTCCCCTGATAATTTCTCACCTCCGTGATACCCAGCCCCACAGAGACAGTATCTCTTATATAATTTATGACCCTCAGGGCGCAGCAGGGAGAACAAAGGGGAAAGTCCCACTGTTCTCCCCTCAACATTTCTCACCTCCATGTCATGTTATGTCATTTATAGCACACGTGGCTTATCAGGGGAAAGTATTAAGGCAGATAAGTACCATCCCTTTTTACATCCAAGAATCTTAACTCTGGACAGCTACACACTGGTATACTAGCTACACACTAGGTGCCTACTTTAAACAACTAGATTGTAGGCCCTATGTAGACCTGCAATTGTGTAAATTGTAGACCTGGTCCATTTTTATTATTCTAAACCATCTCACTTATAAAGTTTCTAGCTTAATTTGTTTCTTTTATAAACAGGGGATTTTTTTTAAAAAATTAGCCTAATCATTAACCAAATAATAATAATGTGGTTATTTGTTGTTGGCTACATAAACTTAGTAGACTATTTACTGGATATGCATTTGAATTTAATTAAACTCAGTCCAGTATCAGATACATATTACTGTAAAAAGACACAAAGGAGGTAGCCCTTAGTAATGTATTAAAGTCGTCTACTAATCAATTAAATGCTTGTATAAACTTTTTAAAATTTAATTTTAAGTAGCAGATTCTAGATCTAAGTCTAGTCACACAATCTATTTCAATTTCAGATAATTTCGTTTACAAAAAAATGATTAGTTTATAGAGCAATAATATACAGCTTATATATATATATATATATATATATATATATATATATATATATATATATATATATATATATATATATATATATATATATATATATATATATATCATTAGACAGAGTCAAACGTTTAAAAAATTATCTGCAATTAATTGCAAATTTAATAACATTGATTCTGGAGCGATTACTAATCTGATATTTTCTTTTAGGCTTTAGATTTGTTTAAATAGGAAAAATAAATTTTCAAAAACATTATTTTTATGCATGATAACAATAATAGACGGACGGCAATTCGTGGAAAACGTTGGTTCCATAAATCTAGTATAAATCTAGCCGTATCTAACACACGCTGCCTAAACTGTAGAAATTGGAACTTTTCATCTTAAAAAAATAAAACACAAGCAGTCACCTCTTCGATGAAGACGATGTCAGTCCTTCAATGATAACCTCTTTCCCGTCGTACATTAGAAATGGAATATCCGCAGAGTAAGGGATTGGGTACTGCGTAAATTACGACCAGATTAGAAGTCACAACACAATTTTTAAGACAACTGTGTTTGTTGCAAATTGTTGTTGTATCAAAGGTCAGAATATTTTTTTGTACTGATATGAAACCAAATGTAATCATAAAAGTATGATAGATATTTTGTGTAGTGGTTTTGTAAACAAACTATTAATCTGATCAAATTGACAATATATAAGATATAATATGTGATATGTGTAATTTAATGTATATATATATATATATATATATATATATATATATATATATATATATATATATATATATATATATACTGTTGTCATTCTTCTTGTTTCGATATTGATTTTTCATCTCAGTTGGTCTTATGTCGGCTCCAAGCGAATTCCATTTATAAAATGTACACTTTGGTGTGGCCTAAACCGATTTGGTTTATATTTTTGTCTGGAGCTGCATTTTTACTCTTAAAGTGTCCTTCAGCTCTATAAAGTTTTGATCAAATGCTTTAAACAAAAACCAAGTCATAAACTAAAGAAAACAAAGCCAGATTAATGTACACTTACATTTGTTTTACCATCAGCAAACGACCGTTTAGTGTGGTAAAATGTGCTGTTGTCGAAGGTCTGGATCTGATAAGTGTCCACACAACCAAAGGAAAGGATATTTGACAGAAATACAAAGAGCATAAGATGAAGCATCATCATGGCGATGGAGGTCAGACGTCTATAAATACAGATTGATTTTTTAATTATGTAATCTGGAATTTTATATTTTTATATTTTAATTACAACTTTAATTACATAACATAGACACAATTCTTGAATGCGACTATACTAGAAAGGATTTAAACATGTGCAACATGTATGTTAAAAATTCTGAATTTCACTTGAAGGACGGATACATAAAAAGAGAAAAATATACAGGGGAACTTAGCTAGTGCACTAGTAAAAACCAGAAAACAGCTTTTTAAAATGTGATGCTACTCACTTTTCTTTAACACGTAGACCAAAGATGGCAGAAGGAAATTAAACCAAAGACAACTATATCCGGTAATCAGAACCACGTCAACAACACGTGCTACCTACAGATTGTTGTAGTGTCGGCTTCTGTTGTGGACATGAGTGGAGTAATAAACTAGTTCAGACAAGGGGAGATTTATGTTTTATTGTATGGGTCGACATTAGGACTGGCGGTAGAGCAAGATAAACTTGTTCAAAAAATGGGAGATTTGTGTTTCCTTGTAAAGCAGTAACAGAATTATAAGTGGCAGAAAATCTATATTTATAAGCGCCTTTCTGTCCCCTCTCTTCCTCTCTATCGCTACTACCCCCCCCCCCCCCCCACCTCACATGGTCTGGTGAGCTGTGGTTCGCGCGAAATGTTTGAGTGACGGCTATTAGGGGCAGATAATTTATTTTGAAACGCTTTTAAACTTAAAGGAGGTAACTAAGAGGAGGCTGCTTTCACGGGGGGGGGGGGGGGGGGGGGTAAATGGGGGTTTAGTGTTTTAAAGCAAATATTTTCAGTGGCAGCATTGGTACTGTCGAATTCACAAATTATGAATTAGTGAAAAGTAGAAAAAACAACAACTAAATAGCGGCGTATGATACACCGCGGGTCGGCTCGTATTATATAATTGTGTAAAGGGCGAAACTAAGATTGCAGGTAGAGCGAGATAAACTTCTTCAGCCAGGGGTGATTAACGTTTTATTGTACTGTACTGTAGTATATGTATATATATATATATATATATATATATATATATATATATATATATATATATATATATATATATATATATGGACTTGAAAAACAATTTCGGCGGGGCACGGCGTCATTTTTTAAAGTTTTGCCTAGGGCACTACATAACTTGGCGCCGACAATGTCAGCATTGGTCGCTGTCTTTAAGCATTAGTCACTAGATCACTATTGTGTGACTGAAATATAACAATTAACTTTAAATGAAAATAGTATTTCCACGGAGGGCGGAAGTCTTTAGGGCTTTCCGCCAACAAAGCGAGCGGCCACCTTGGTGCATAGGTGTGTTTTCATAGCCCTTCAATCAATAGATAAGCAATCAGCTTTGATCTAGCTTCGTCCATCTAATGTTGTAGGATTATCTCATGATCGATAAGTCCACCTAAACTGTCTATCTAATAGCATATCTCTAATTGCAATTTTAATATATTTAATGTAATGTGACAAGCCAATACGAGCAATCTATTCTAGCACCAACAAAACTACGGTTCTCATGGCAAACAGCAACATGAGTCGATGACGTCAATATACAAACCAGAGAGCCTGGGTTCTGTACCTGGTCTGGTCTCGATAGCTTAGGCCGTCCACCATCCGAACTACAGATGTAAACCAGACATGTCTACCGCCATGGTCTCGATAGCTTAGGCCGTCCACCATCCGAACTACAAATGTAAACCAGACATGCCTACCGCCATGGTCTCGATAGCTTAGGCCGTCCACCATCCGAACTACAGATGTAAACCAGACATGTCTACCGCCATGGTCTCGATAGCTTAGGCCGTCCACCATCCGAACTACAGATGTAAACCAGACATGCCTACCGCCATCACTGTGGGGGGGGGGGGAGGAAAACATTTGGCACCAGCAGACAACTTAGGGTTAGAAAATACATGACGCATAGATAAGTAGTTTAGTGTTGACAAGTACAAATACTAGAAATATAAAGCGAGTTTGTTTATAAGTACCGGTATGTGTATGTAATTAAAAAACGTGTATACATATGACCAACATTTTCTAGCAGTTTTTATTATTTACTAGCTAGGTCATTACATGGCTAGACTTGAAAAGACTCCATTATTGAACTAGATCGATTACAAATGCTGAGGTTAAAGCAAACGTTGTCGAGTAATCGTTGCAAAAGAAATCAATTACTGTAAATTACATGTTGGTTTTTACAACGTTCATCTTGTAGTTAAAGATAATAACAAATTGATTTATAGATGGAAAAATGGTAGCAATATTTTTTACTTCATTACACCAGACGTTGAAGATTGTAAAAAAAAGGTCAACCTAACATAAGGCAGACAGGCTATAAGGCCGACTTACACATAGAAAATGCGGATATATACTGCAAGGGATAGGTCTAACTATCATATCGAGATGAGGCAATCTTTAATGAAATAAATAAAAGGCAAACCTCCGTCACCACTTATTTGCAAAGAGAGAGAACAGACTTAAAACAATGCATAGTTGGTTTCTACCCTTATCTGGCTATCTAACCATATTTCTCCAACATATTAAGAATACCGAAAAAAAAACCGGTCGACCATTGAACCACTTCAGATATAGCTACAAATAGCTACCTAATAACTATCCTTATTGCTTCTCTATCACGAAATGGACGGAAATAATACCCAAAGTTGTTTGCGCGGTCGAGTAGGTAAAGCTCATGATGGGAAAACCTTGATTTATCATGGTCAACACAATATCATGTTTAAAACAAATCAATTATAAAAACTAAATAATAGGGTAAATCTCATCAATTAAAATTGTATGTCTTGCAATTAAATTTTAAATAAAATGTTTACTAACACTGTCCGTTATCTTTTGCTGATTCGGAATATTTCTTGAAAGTCTTTTGTGTAGTGATGTAACTCCGATTTTTTGTTTCAGTTTTTACTGCCGACTTTCAAGCCAGAAAAATCACACATCGATTGTTTCGTGATTAGCAAAGCTCAAACATGACAAGTGGTTCCCTGTTAAGACTAAGGGACAGAAGGCTGTCTTTTAAAGATTACATTTTTTTCTGTGTTGCTGTTTCCTATATAGTGTCAGCTTTTGTGTGAGCGTGTGAATGGATTATTTATTTTGTATTATTTTATTGTGTGCGAATCTGTGAGTGAATGGTCCACTGGACAGCGGCTACGGGGATTCCCCTTCCGCCCGAAGCGGTCAGTATAAAAACTGACCGCTCGGAACATTTCTTTCTTTTTTACCCGAGGCGAGATGTAGATCGGGTCGGTTTCTGTGTGGGCGCGTGGCACACCTCATGCGTGGGTGTTTTGTTTAGTCGTGTTTTGTGTATTCTGTACTTTTTCATCTTTTTTATTTTGATAGGTGTGTGCTGTAGATGGCAGCCTCGTGTGGGCTAGACTGGACAACACACACGGGCGTGGCACGGATCTGGTGTGTGAGGCAGACCGGTGACCAACGAACGGCTTATGGCGTCATCTCTTGACTCACAAAGAGGGCTACCTGGACACCGCCCCGCAGGTGTGTCTATACCAAGGCACTATCATGGGGGCGTGGAACAGACTGAGAGCCAGTGGTGCTAGGCGTTTGCGTCTTCTCTTGACCCACTAAGAGGGCTAACTGGACACCCGCCCCGCAGGTGTGTCGAGGCGTACACACGGTCATTGGAGGCGGGCATAAGCACGAGAGACAGTGGTGCAAGACGGTTGCGTCATATCTGGACCAACTAAGCAGACGCTTTACCGGTGGTCTTACGCTGAGGCCAGAACCAAATACACGGTGTGTTGTACAGTGGGCCAAGGTGGACGGGATGGAAAGGCAGCGTGCACTCAGCAAAGTGTGCCATTATTAGCTTCTGATCTAGACAGACACCCCCCCCCCTTCCTTAGCTAACTCAGCGCATGAAAGAATGACACGACCAGTAGCACGGCTAGGGACCTCGGTGTAAGGAACATTATCTTGGTGCCTCTGGTACAATGACAGAATTTATTTTGGGAGCCCAGACGCAAGATTATGTGTTATTGTAAATTGTTTTTTTATCTTGCATTCAAGCTTATGGGCTTGATGTAAGAGATAGGGTGAATTTGTTTTGTTAAGTTTGTTGGATGCATTTATTTGCTTACAGGGACTGTAAGCTTTAAAACAGGGGTAAATGTGAGCGGGTGAATGGATTATTTATTTTGAAATATTTTATTGTGTGCGAATCTGTGAGTGAATGGTCCACTGGACAGTGGCTACGGGGATTCCCCTTCCGCCCGAAGCGGTCAGTATAAAAACTGACTGCTCGGATAATTTCGTTTTTTTTACCCGAGGCGAGATGTAGATCGGGTCGGTTTCTGTGTGGGCGCGTGGCGCACCTCATGCGTGGCTGTTTTGTTTAGTCGTGTTTTGTGTATTCTGTACTTTTTTCACCTTTTTTATTTTGATAGGTTCCATGTAATAAATGTAATTAACTGTTAATTTTTTTTTGCTTTTATTTAGTCTAAGGTTAAGGTTAATAACCAGTCTGGGTTTAGCCGGTCTTGCACTGACAGGACAGTAGTAAGATAATCCTAGCATGGCTTACATTTGTTTTCGAGTGAATGACATTAAATTGGAAAACAAAACAACATAAAACCCTTATAATATCACGCTTTTGAATGCACTGAAAATAAGAAAAAAAGTAATTTGCCCCCTTATGTGAGCGGCTGGAGTGTATTATTATTATTTGTAACTTAGAAGGCGAATGTATCGTTTCGTTTCATGTCGTAAATTGTTCGTAGTTTTTTGTTGTGTAGTCCCGTATTATGGCGCCGCTGTCTCACTGTTTATGTCCCTGTTTATAGCTCGTTTGTATATATTTCGTTTATATTGTTGTCATTGTTTATATTAAGTGTCTTTTTATATAATTCTGTTGCATGTTTCGTGGCGTTCGTTTTATCCGTGAATTAGGGACTATTTGTTTACGTGTAGTGTGTGAGGTATGTGGAAGTCGATTTCCGGCTGGTTCGAGTCTGTCTTTTTGGTGTGTGGAAGGCGATGAAGAGAGCAGGAAGACTCTCTTGTCATCGATTATAAAGATTACCATCCAGCCGTATTTATTTTGTGTATGTGTTCTTCACAGACCTGGTAAGTTAGAAAGATGTTTATTTTTTTGCTATGCTGTTTATTTTTGGTTGCTGGCCATAAGTTTTTTTGTGGCTGTTTTCTGACCGCCATTGTGGTTTGGTCAGACCATGTGGACTCAGATTCTGAGTTTTATTATATTATTATGTTATGGTTATTTTGTTACTTTGTTGTATCTCTTGGGCTTGTGTTAAGCCAGGGATAATGCTTATTTATACTTGGCCCACAGTTATGGTTTACTCCTGGCTGTTGGGTTAGG